CTTGCCTATTAAAAAGACACATGTGACATGAACTGAGGCTCCTCGCTCTTCTGAATAATAACCAGTTTTTGATACTTAACACGGATAATGGCATTTGGTCCAATTCACAATAATAATTGTTTCGGCCCTTCAGAAACTAGGCACTCACAGCCAAAATGGCCAATAAAAGGTGTCAATGTGCTGAGAATTGACTCCTGTGTCTATCTTTGTTTGGACTCTTTGTTCTTTCTCTTTGGAAATGCATGTCTCAGTGGAGTTAGTAATGGGAGCACTAGGATGGCACTATTTGTTTAGTGCTCTTCATCGGAGCGTGATGGGGGTCTTGGAGTCCTGCCTGCTGCGGGTCAGGCCGTTTGTGTTTGGGTAGCCTTGTGGAAAAAGTGAGGGGGAATATGCTGTGGCGCTTACTCAAAATAATAAACAATATTTTTATTTTGTGAGTCAGTGATGCTAGTACTTCAAAAACAGAACACAGCACAGTCACGTTCGTTTAGAACTAAAATCCTGCTCCTCATTAATATTAAACATGAAACATGGATGACGAGAGGTTCCCTGCTGTATGAAATATCTCTCAAGTTCTGGAAACAACTGTCTGGAACTACATGCTATTTGTCCTTCGTTTTATTTTTTTCAGCACAAACTTGCTTTCACTGCTCTGATTGGCTGTAATTCTGCAACATTTTTTGCTTTTAGTGTGGACACTGGACAGATTTATTGCCCAATAGATTTATTGTTTGTCTCTGAAAACTTTTACATTCTACGTCTTAATCGAATGCAAGGTGATAAAAAGGCGAATGGTAACAGCTTTCCCATCCATCAACATTTTGCAGATCACTTGGCTTCTATTCAGTCGAAGTAGCATTGTGCTGATTAACTCCACCCACTCTAAAACCTGATTGGTCCAAAACCCTGTTACAAGTGACAGTACAGTACAACAAATACGCTCTTCACCACTCTGATTGGCTGTGATTTTGTTATGTTTCAGGGCTTTTTCACTTTTTAGTCCTAACGAACAAATGACCTAAAGGAGTCGCCTAAAAATTACCTAAAAGTACCTAGAAAGTAGTCACATCATGTCTGGTTAGGACTACACACCACTAAAAATGTTGGGGTTGGTAAGATTCTTTTAAATGTTTTTGAAAAAGTCTCTAATGCTCATGAACGCTGCATTTATTTGATAACAGAAATATTGTGAAATATTATTACAATTTAAAATAAATGTTTCCTACTTGAATATATTTAAAATATAATTTATTCCTGTGAAGGCATAGCTGAATTTTCAGCAGCAATTACTCCAGTCTTCAGAAATCATTCTAATATGCTGATTTGATGCTCCAGAAACATTTCTCATTATTATCAATATTCTCTATTATTGCTTTTTTCAGGATTCTTTAATGAACAAATTTAAAAGAACAGCATTTATTTGAAATATAAATATTTTGTAACATTATAAGGTTATTAAGGTTAAAAAAGCAGACACAATTAAATCACAGTTCAGCTCTTGTAATCCCTATTTTCCACTTCATCTTTTATCTGAAACACTACTCGAATTGCACAAGAACTTCAAATGCTGTGAAATGTCTGAACAACATCTTGCTCCATCAAAACCACAAATAACACATCTGTTGGCAATCTTCAAATGCAATAAAATTAGTGAGCCCTTCCTTTAGTTGTGTTAGCATCCAAAACACCAATCATTTCATATTCATAATCACAGATATTTCAAATTTTTTTTTTGCCTTATTCAGAAACCTAAAAGCACCCTTGAACTTGAAAAAAACACAGCAAGGGTTATGATGCCCAATGAGAATGTACTGATAGGGGCATCCTTTTCCCACACACACTTTGAATCATCTCAGCATGGCCTCAGTGTTTCTATATGTGAAGCCATATGCACATTGCAACAGAAACCATCCCACTGCTTCAGCTCTAGGAATGTGTTTTGTTTGGAGGCCTTTTTGGTGGTTTATTAGATCTTAAGAGGATGACCTCCAATAACTTTTTCACTTGGGATGACTGTCCTGCTGAAGCCAAGGATCGAGAGCGGGCCAAACAGGCTGTAACTCTTATTGCATAAGTCCCATTCCCTGAACACAACTGCATTTGTGATAAATAGTTTAAGACGATGACATTTTTCCACAAACAGAAAGAGGCGAAAGTAAAGGAAAATGTCTTGCTCTGCATCAAAATCACTGTGAGGTTTTCTTACCTCGACACGTCCTCTGGAAAGAAGAAATTACGGTCTGAATTTAACTTTTTTCCCCATTGGAAAGGTATGAATCTCGGTGACTTGGCACTTGCAATATGAACAAATATTTGTAAATTGATTAGAAAAAGCTAAATGGTATTTAAAAGACATTTGTGAACTTTGCTACAGGAAATGAATGGTTAACATGGAGAAAAAAATGAAAATACAAAGCAATTTTTGGGTTAACAATGTAGGTAATGATAATGTCTGCATATACTCAAATATAAAACAAACAAAAAAAGTAATTATGTCTGAAAATACTCTTATAAGCAACTAGGGACAGCCCTCTGTTGTACTTATTGTCTTCTGTCTGTTTTGACCACCAATGATCATAAGTGTGACCCCAGTTATGACTACCAGTAACAGAATATAATATTTGAAGCCATTTTTGTTGTGCTGTCCAAAGCACACAAAACGATTAAGTCAGAATATAGAACACTAAGAAGTCTTTCTGGGTTGCTACATGTCTGAAAATGAATATGATAATTGGGACTTTAAACTAATGAGAAAACTCTTAAATGGTCTCGTTTTGAAACTACCTGTATGTTTATTTAGTATATTGCATGAATGTTTTAAATCAGAAGGAACCTACTAATAGTACAAACATTTCAGTTAACCTTTAGCTAAAAACCGTAATATATTTCCCAGATAAATCTGACATATTGATTGACATGACCTATCAGGGTTTGACTGTCCAGTTCGCGAACTACAGTAACCACCATCCCTACAATGTTTCATAACAACACGAGAAACATAAAATTCGGCTAAAAGCAAAAATATGACCAATTTACGCACTCTGCGACATCCTGTTTCATCATTCCAGTGTTTGTCACAGCATGGTTGTGAGTTTACAGGCTAACCGCTAATGCTAACAGGATGTGCTACTTCAACAGGATGCGAGGTGAAATAAATGTCTAATTTATTACCTTGGCTCCCTCCTTTCGGTCTGTATAAGCGTCCGTCAGGGTAGACGATCTTCTGGGTAGTGTTCAGAGGTAGATAACGAAGGGTATTCCGGAGTTTTAGGTGGTGTTGCATCGTTTCATGCTACACTGATGGTTGGCCACTGCAAACAGGCGCGACTGACAGACTACAGACAAACACACAGTAGATCACATCACCACACACTCTCTGCGCCCGCCTATCACATGTGTTTCCATAATACAGCTGTGCAGCATGAAATATTCATTCTGTTAGCTGCCTGAAAACAACCAACAACCAAAGCTACCTGCATTAACCTGCCATACTAATACATATATAAATCTACAGCAGTAGTCTACGAGTTATGCACAGATACGATAAACTGTTCCGATCCCTCTCTGTCTTTTCTAATCTGATTGGTTTCTGCTATCTTAAATTGCCAATCATTTACTCGAATGTATTGTATGAGTCATTGAAGTTAAGTATGAATCATTCCTGCACTGAAGATACAGCAGCATTAGCCATAATACACTTTGACATTATTGAAACAAAGCATACGCACCAATTCACTTAGCCTAAGTTTATTATAGGGATGTGGGTGTTTTATCTTCGTTGTTCTGTCCAAAGCACACAATGTCGATTTGAATAATTTAGTACATTAAAAAGCCTTACTGGGTTACTACATGTCTGAAAGTGGAATGGATATGAAAATTAGGACTTTACACTAAAAAGGTAGTAAAAAGCTCTTTAAAACTCTCAACTCTTCATTTTTTTTAAGGAACTAGTCACTGAAAGGAGGTGCACAGCCGCTTACACGGTTAAGGTCAATAGGATTAAAAAAAAAAATTAATTAATACCTTTATTAAGAAATGATTAATTAAACTGACCAAAAGTGACAGTAAATACATCTGTTACAACATAAATGCTGTTCTTTCAAACAGCTCATCAAATAATCATGAAAAAATATATCAGTTTCCACGAAAATATTAAGCAGCACAACTATTTTCAACATTGATAATAAGAAATATTTCTTGAGCAACAAATCAGCGTTTTAGAATAATGCTGTTTTAGAATGAACCTTGGTGAACATAGAACTTTTTTTTCTTCAAAATTATCAAAACTATAAAATTATCTTAATTTTTTTATCAGCAGGAAAAACAAGAATATTAAAGTAGATGTTAATTTTCCATTTATTTTCCATGAAGCCTGCAATTTTGAATTCTTGTTACCAATGTGGGACTAATGTCTAAATAAACCTTAAAATCCTGATTTGTGTTATTTAGCCATTTTTAAGCATTAAATGAAAAAATTAAATAATTCCCAAAACTGACAAATAAAATTTGTTTTTCTCAAAATTGTTTGCACATTTAGCCTGAATTAAGCTACCATTCAGATGAACTTCCATTCACCATAAAATAATGCATAAAACGTTATTTTCTTATAACAGTTTGACATGTTTGGAACTGCTTATTTTTAATTAACATAGATTAATGTTAGATAATTTTTTATTAAACATATCAACAAAAACATGGGATCTGTAATTATCATTTTAACCAACTTTAAATTTATTATTCATTTACTTTGTACAGAATCACATGGCCACATTTAATGTTACAGGTCTGCCATACAATAGCATTGTGCAGTTTCAATATTGTCCAGTAATAATAATAAACGAAGTCTATTGTTTCAGCAGTAGTGCTCCAGGAGAGGAAAGAATGCTGAACGCAAACCACTGTGTCCTAACGTCTTCTGGGGAGTAATGCTATCTCTATTGAGGACTGTTTAATGTACTTGGCCATCGGTCAGATAAACACACAGAACAGTCAACGGCTCTGTGGAAACAAGAGGATGAAGGAGTTTATTGTGATCAATCTCCTTAATCCACACTGTGCCATACTTATCCATATACAGAACATTTCCTCATCATGGAAGCTGGGTTGTAAAATAGCAGCCAGGAATATCTTCATCAGTACAGCGTGCAACGGACCAAATAAACGAGAGAAAAAGGAGGAATGGATATAGCTGTAATTCAAGCAGGAGCTTGATAAAGTTAGTGCAGATTCCAGAACATACAATGGAATAAGAACAGAGAAAGGCAATGATCTTCAACACAATTACAGGAATGTCTCAGTTTTCCTTAGTCTAAAGGAAATACACAAGCATGGCACAATAACTAAAGGAAATCTCTAAAAGAAAAATAAGTCATTAACAAAACAACATGCCTGCATGTTACATGACATCCAAATAATACACAACCTCTCCTTTGTTCTGAACAACATAATACAGATATATGCATATTAGCCATAATACACTGAACAATTTACACACACACTTAACAGGGCAAGATATTGACACTGCTCAGGATCGCAAAGTGCTTGCAAGTTTTGTGAACAGCAAAATTTTACAAAGTGAAAATATAATGAACCCAAATGATTAAACAAGAAAAATGTACAGTGTTTGAATTAAGTTAATTTTTGCTATTTCTTAAATACAGAAAACTAATGTAGCAGTGATATTATTCTGATGGAGAACTCCTATATCCATTTGAATATATTGAGTCCATCAGTTACGGTTAATCATTTCCTATAATACCTTAAATGATATAAAGATTTAAAACTATTTTATGTTTTATTTCCTAAGTTATGTGAGGTTTCCAGTTTAAACAGTACTGAAAAATAATGTGTTACAGTCCTATAATATCATGTGATATGACCAATGTGTGCTGTATTGTTTTAATATAGGCTCAGTAATCCAATATTAGTTGGATTTATGTGAGATAAAATAGAGAAATGTTTTCATAAAACAAAAGGAATGTACATACTTGGGAATCATGGGAACGGTAAACTATAATTGTGTCGTATATTCTTTTTAGTTACGAACTAATATGCTAACATGTTGACCATAGTCACACGTTGGTTAAAGAACCTCACATTTTAGTTCTCTGTGTTGTGTTGTGTTTTATCCATCAGAAAGGGGCCATATAAATGTGTTCCTCCTTATGATTTACGTATTCAGATGTTCCGTAGCCCTCGCCATGGGAAGACATAAATCATAGGTGAGCAAAATGTCAGATCAAATAAAGCGTTTATGGAAAACTGGAATGTGTAATTCTTTAGAAACCCACAGTGCTGAAAGGAACAAGAGAAAACACAAGAATAACATTCACCATCCAATGATCTACGAGAAGCTTGGCACTCAAAGTGTGAGCCACCATTCAGTCAGAAATCCTACAATGGATGAGAGTGAAAATAAGCAACATCACCTGCATGTTGAATGTAACTCTTAAGTGCTTGTAACAGTGAGTTCATGAGAAGATATCAGACTGGCTTGTCATTCTTCACTACAGAAATATCAACAGAATGCTACTGATGCAGGGAATTCACTCCGCTTGTAAGATTTCAGTAGGATGTTGGTGCCCTCCATTGGTCGCATGCTGAATCAGTCCCAGTGCATTTCACACCATAATGCATCTGAGTTCCTTTTCAAACCTCCGTGGAGAAAAGCATACTCTGCCGTTTACTATCCGGAGTAGGGATCGCCTCCAGCTGCAGGAAGTACAGTAATACCTGGACCTACAGAGACGGAGAGGAACAAATACATCAACACAGCTATTGTTTTGTACATGACCCATTTTGATGCTTTCAGACTTCAGGGCAGTTCAAATCAGAGCTCATAGTGTATGTGTGTTACCTGAGACATAACCTCAAGAGACCAGCTGTCACTCATAGAGATGGGCTGCGTGGGATTGGCTGGAATTTTACTGTCCTTTTCAGAGGGGCGAAGGAGGGTCGGGCCGAATACTGTGGCGAGATTGTGGAAGGACATCTTGTTGACGCTCTCATTCTCAGCAACCCTTATGAAAATAAGAAAGAAACATATAGGTCTTAAACAAATGTGAATCGTGCTTGCCTGCCCATAAAAAAGTTGCAATCTCAATCTCCTTTTGCTTATTAAAGACTGGCTGTAAATTATGGGGTTAATTGTGATTATTCTATTCTATTAATAGCCCTAATTTGCATATAGTTTTGTGAAGAAAAAAAAAGTAGCTCACTGCTATGCTGTAGCTAGTGTTTTAAGTGGTTTCTTTTGGTTCTAGATTGGTATCATATTATCGCAAACACCAGTTCAAATCTATTTTCACTTAGGAATCATTTTACTGAAATTGTTGATGGGATCAGACTGCACCTCTTCAGATGGTCCAGTAGAAACAGGAAGGTCAGCAGGTTGGGTTCAGGTAGCGAGAGCAACAAATTGAGCATACAGCTTTCCTTTGCCACACTGTCTGATAATGCTGAAGAAAATAAATAAACAAAAATCAATGATTAACATGAAGTGTTCTGAATAAATGATTATGCATTAGAACTTAAAAAAACACAGACCAATGCCTTCAGTGAAATTTGCGTAGAGTTCGTCAGTGAAGAGGGGCTCAGGAAGCTCTCTGAAGTAAAGCTTCAGCGTTCCAGCGATGGCATTCACGTCCATCTCACTCATCATAACGGAAACATCTTTATTGTCTGTTAATTCACAAAAAAGTACTCATTTTTAGCCATAACAACAACACATATAATATTAAATACATAATATATTACAATACATTTAATTATATTATAATATTTAATTTAATTCCACTTTAATATTTTTAAATTTAATTAATTTTTATTTTATTTAATTGTTGGTTCATCCCTACAAGAATTACTGAAGCACTTACTGGCATCAAAGGCAGCTTTTAGGGCTTGGATGTCAGTGGCCACACCAGAGACACGATAGATGCCCACTTCCTCCATCCCTCTGCGCTCAATCTCTTCTACACACTGTCTCACAATAAGAGGCACTTTGGAGTGCTCCCGTCTAAGAGTAACAAACACACATGAGTCAATAACCAGCATCTGGAAAATATATTTCAAATGATTTGTGCTAATTTTTTGGTATTCAAGCTGTAAATACTATGACCACAGATTATGGGAAGATGCTTTTTGTTAAACTGTATTTCATGGAAAAAATAAAATGAATGTTTTATTTAAGGCATTATTTTCTTGGCACATTTCTGGGAAGTAAAAAAATAACCAGCATATTCTGAGAGCTTGTTTATTTGTTCACTATGAATGGAAAAATTATTTCGCTGTATCAATGTTCTCATAGCCTATATTTAAACCTACATCTGCATTCCAATATCCCAAAATCAACATCATAATGAGACCACCTGAGAAAATTTGTCTACCATATACAGTGGGTACGGAAAGTATTCAGACCCCCTTCAATTTTTCACTCTTTTCCTCCCAAAACTGTCAAGTTAAAAAAAAGAAGTATTATTAGAGGACAAAATGAATTGCTGTTAAACTGTTAAACTACAAAAAAAAAAAAAATGCATATCAGAGAGTCTAATTCCTAAATCCACAGTCCTGTTTTTATTACAGTCCTCTGAGGGAAGCCCTTGGCAAACCATTGCCTTTAATAATCATTTCTTCCTGTTTCTCAGGAAGTCTAGAATAGGGTTGCTTTCTGTTTTCCTTTATGCTTTTAATAACCCGTCTGATGGAGACCACCTTTCCTCCGCTTTATTAAAAGGAAGTTTCCCCCTCCTTATTTTTATGAGCTCTCATTTGAGTCATGTGGGTCTAGGAAAACACTCGGAGAAGGGTCCCTGTGTCCTCTAAATTATGGGAAACATCCATAATGACAGCTGACTGGTGTTGCTCTTGGAGTGAAAGATGGGTGAGTGGAACGGAACATAACTTCTTTCATCATTGAATCACGACTGGCTGTCTGACATAAAACTGGCATAAATGGTTACAATACAATATAACTATATTAATCCTTAATATAGGCACACTCACTAGCCTTTTTAGCAGTCATTTTTGACTTATACTGGCATCTAGTGGTGTGGATGCAGCACTATTTAAATACAAAAGTTTTCAGTTTTGAAAGGATCCAAAAATATGGGGTTACAGAAAGAAAATAAGCAATATTTAGCTTTTATTAGGCTACTGATATGACTAGAATCATATAATGTGACATATTTATTTACTGAAATGCTATTAATTTTCTTCTTACCTTTTAATAGGGAAAATAATGTAATTCCCCTTTTTTTTAATTTAATTAAAACTGTGTATAGTGTATTTGTATCAGTCATACACTGGATTGACTGATTGGTTGGTTGACTCACTTAGTAACAGCCCCGATTTTGACTCCAAACACTCCGGACTGTTTCCTGGACGGCATCCTCTTCAGACTGAACTCTCTGCTGGTAAACCGCATAGACAGCTTGACCTCAATCTGGAAAGAGTGATGAATGTGCACAACTTTTTTTTATAAAAACATCTCACTGATGAGAACAAAACAACTCTGTGCTCAATCTCACCTATCAAATAATCACGAATTAAATCACTGTAAACTGTGGCCATCAGCTTAATATCAAGCCACATTACCATGATAATCCATCATTGTGCTTCATATTGCTAAAACTTGATGGCAGACAAATGATTGTTATATATTGATTGGAGGATGTTAATGGAAAAAAGTACAGCTCTGTTCATAAAATACCTACACAGTGGTCAGTAGGATTGTTTTTAAAGAAATTAATACTTTTATTCAGCAAGGATGCATTAAATTGATCTATTTTACATTGTTACATGAGATTTCTGTTGATTTCTCTACTCAATGAATCCTAAAAAAATGTCTCGTGTAAAAAAAAAAAAAAACCAGTAAGTAGTGCAACTGTTTTCTATATGATAAGAAATGTTTCTTGTGCACCAAATCAGCATATCAGTATGATTTCTGAAGGATCATGAGACTCTGAAGACTGGCGTAAAAATTCACTGAAGTTGCTAAAAATGTAGCTTTGCCATTACAGGAATAAATGACGTTTTAAAACATATTAAAATAGAAAACAGTTATTTTAAATTGTAACAATATTACTGTTTTTACTATATTTTCAAATAAATGCAGCCTTAAATAAATGAGACTACTTTAAAAAACATTTAAAAAATCTTCCTGGCCCCACTTTTGAATGGTACTATATATAAATAGACACAGACACACACAAACACATTTCACAAATTATTGTAAAATATGTATGTGAACTTTTGAACAGGGTAATTTTAGTTATTATTTTGACAAATGAGAAGTACTGAAATGTATCTGTTATACCAAAAACCTTTTCTATATAATCGTATTTAAATATCTCACAAAATCTGCAAAACAGACAAGTGATAAGCACCTACATGTGCACTGCATATAGTTACAAGATATCATCATTTCAGTGTTCAGCAATGATACAGCAACATCTATTATTCACTTCCCAGACATATCCAGATGATCTTAAAGGGGTCATATGATGCGATTTCAATTTTTCCTTTCTCTTTGGAGTGTTACAAGCTCTTGGTGCATAAAGAAGATCTGTAAAGTTGCAAAGACTAAAGTCTCAAATCCAAAGAGATATTCTTTATAAAATTAAGAGTCAGCCACACCTACCTAAAACGGCTCGTTCTAAACAAAATAATGTTCTTTTTAGCAGCATCATATGACCCCTTTAATCAAGTGTGCTGGCCTGTTTAAATGTAAATGGCCATTTATTAAAATGACTGTTCCTATTATTAATAATTGTGTTATTATTGTGCAGGATGAGTCACACTGACCCCATTCATGCTGATTACTGTCCTCTGCCAGTCTTTACCCTGCAGCGATGGAGGATCCAGCTGTGAAAACAGGGACAAATGTCAATCAAGAGGATAATCCTTATCTGAGCGTGACCCAAACACAGAGTCACCTGCTAAAAATGGCAGCTCAGTAAACACGCTATTGGAAAGTATCTACATTTCACAAAAATAAATAAACAAATGCACTGAGCCAGGACAAATGAATAGCTGCCCAGACACACAGTACAGTATGTGAATGATGCAAACCAATGCACAATGCTATTTCAGCTTAACTGATCAGCTTAACTGATCACTTAAATTAACTGCATAACCTAAAGAACAATAAAATCCAAACAGTTTCCCTTCTTTATGATATGTCCATCTCCCCCAGTCTTATAGTATTACATAACGTCCACATAGTCATAGTTGTCAGCATTAATCTAGTGACAGATTCTGTTCTAATCATGTCTCTAATACCAGGGCTTCAGTTTGTTTTTTTTGTGGTCTGCTATGGGTGTTGTGACAACATAATTTACCAGCTTGCTGCCAATGGAAAAACCTGTATTGATTGGTTATCTTTACTCATGCCAAAATATCTGATTTGTGTAATTCGAAGCAACTGGTGCACTCGTACATGGTGAAATCAATGTCATATTTTATATGTTCAGAATACATCTGGAGTCTTTTGTATACATCATGTCTGTATATATCATGTCATCATGGGCGTAACATATTGTTTTAGGTAGGCTATGTCTAGACTCGGCATAGTAAACCAATAGATCAATATTTTAACTAGAAGTAAACAATAATTTAATTATATTACATTGTATAAAACTATATTTTCACGCATAAGAACCCATTTGCACCACCTTTCAAAAGTTTGGGGCTGGTAATACTTTTTTTTTTGAAAGAAATAAATACTTTTATTCATTAAGGATGCATTAAATTGATCAAAAGTGAAATTTCTAATGTTACTAAATATTTCTATTTCAAATAAATGCTGTTCTTTTGAACTCTGTATTCATCAAAGAATCTCTCTCTCTCTCTCTCTCTCTCTCTATATATATATATATATATATATATATCAGTTTCCACAAAAATATTAAGCTGCACAACTGTTTTTAACATTGATGATAATAATAATAAATGTTTCTTAAGAAGCAAATCAGCATATTAGAATGATTTATGAATGATGTGACACTGAAGACTGGAGTAATGATTGCTGAAAATTCAGCTTTGCCATCACAGGAATAAATGACATTTAAAAACATTTGAAAATAGAAAACTGTTTTTAAATTGTAGAAACATTTCACAGTTTTATTGTTTTTTTTTTACTGTATTTTGATCAAATAAATGCAGCCTGCTGAGCATAAAATATTTCTTTCATAACTAAATAATATAACAGACCCCAAACTTTTGAATGGTACACTGTGTCAGAAAATTAAATAATTGTGTCTAAATAGTTTACTTTAACATTGTCATTGTCATTAGTACAAAAGCAATTTTTTATTATCATTGACAGTATCCAATACAGTGGTATTTTTTTTCCACAAAACTAATGCAGATTTAATATCGCTGATTATAACTTAAGTTAACATTGACAGTCCTAAAAACACATTTTGACCCCCCAGCAGCCCCTTGCTGCCCCCTGGAGGTCACCAGTTTGAAATCACATGCTATACACCAGTTTTTTTTTCTTATGTACTCCATCAATAAGTCTCAAGCCTTAATATTTTTCAGATCACTAACAAATAAAACATACCCTACTTACCAAAATAACAAAATGCCCTTGAAGTGACTCATAGCAAAATCCACATCAAACAATTCAAAATCTCAATTCCTAACCAGCCTGCTTAACAATATTCATCTCAAACCAAATTAACAAACTGAGTTTATTTCCTAAATCCCCACACATGAGGAGGCAAGGCTCTCGTTACCTTCTGCCTGAGAAGCGTGCTGCGAACTCTACCCCAGAGTCGAGCCCCAGTGCTGGGACCCCTCCTGAGGCCAATGTCCACCTCCTCATCCTCCTCCTGTTTCTCCTCTTCCTCCACCGCACAGCTGCTAAACAACTCTTCCTTCATCAGTTTACTACCCACAGTCTTCGTTCCTCCACAATGCTCTTCACTATCCTGCATCTGGTCCTTTTTGCCCATCTCGCTTGAGTTCCTCAAAGAATGCTACTGTTATTGACAAGAAGCAGCAGGGTAAAGGAACAGGAATCCCTCTCCGCTCACAGAAGCACAGTCAAATTTAAATCTTCGAGCACAACGGCCGACTGGCGTTCCATGTCACCCTGAAGCGGTGCATGTTTTGGCATAGCTGTTCTCATGCCGGTCTGGATGAACCTATTGTTGTGAATGTCTCTGATATATTCTTGAGTTCACACACACACATAGCTCCCCTGACGGAGTTGTCACACAGATGGAGCGCTGGGATTAACTACAGAATCTCCTCCCACCCTGATGATTACGGCCCAGTGTGGCAGCTGAGCTGACCTGCCAACAACGCATTCAAGACAATTTCAAGTGTTTCACCTGGTGCTTTTCTGCTTATCAGCAATGAAATGTGCCACTTCTCAAGTTTAGGGCAGTAGTGTATTTCCTGCCATAACAATCATTTGAGAAGATACTGAAAAAGTTTGAACTCTATGTGAACAGATATAAAGGATCTTGTTTGGACTGTTTAGACTAAACTAAATCTATACGGTCTGTGGCCACAGGAAAAAAATAAACATGGTTGCCATAAAAACAAAGGGTCATGTGATTAAGACAAAAGCTTTCATTTGCTGATGCTGACTTTCACTTAACTCATCCGTAGTTTCACAGCTGCCCCTCTGGGACTCTGTCAGCGTGTCATGTCCCACTTTCTCGTTGGAGCGTTTCCAAACAACGACGACAATCCATAGTACAGTCCTTTTAATCCTTCTCTAGCACAACACCTAAGAATTTCCCTAAGGCCTCCCCTCTGCTGAGCCGCCACTCAGGTTTCTCTGGTGACACGAGCACACCACCGAATATGGCAGGATTATCCACCTGAACAATTTACTGGCTTTGCTCTGTTCATTGCATTAGGAATTAAAAATGTAAATGCTTAGTCACTATGGGTAAGAAGATTATAGATTGCTTGTTTTATCCTGGGATTTATGACTAATCGATAAAATTGATAACGAAATAACACAATTTCCTAACTGATTACTTGGATTTGCGCACAGAGAAACAGTGTCAGTCACTTCACGATAGTGAAAATGCACTTCTATGAAAAGTAATCAAATATAAAATTGATGGATTAATTAATTAATAAACGGCATTTTTTAGTTGTAGCCCTACTAAAATATACTACTATTACAAAAAAAAGTACTGTGAAAGTAAGTCTGATAATATGCAAAATCAAAACAACTGTGTTCAACAGTGTTTAAAATGAGAACAGGTAATATTTGAGCTGTTAACGGTCCAGTGTTTGTTGGTGAGGACATAAGCAGTTCAATGTCTCAAAGCTCCCTAATATGTGACCCTGAACCACAAAACCAGTCTTAAGTTGCATGGGTATATTTGTAGCAATATCCAACAATACATTGTATGGGTCAAAATGATCGATTAGTCAAAAATCATTAGGAAATTAAGTAAAGATCATGTTCCATGAAGATATTTTGTAAATTTCCTACCGTAAATATATCAAAACTTATTTTTTGATTAGTAATATGCATCGCTAAGAACTTAATTTGGATAACTTTAAAGGCAATTTTCTCAGTATTTTGATTTTTTTGCACCCTCAGATTCTAGATTTTCCAAATAGTTGTATCTCGGCCAAATATTGTCCTATCCTAACAAACCATACATTACATCAATGGAAAGCTTATTTATTCAGCTTTCAGATGATGTATAAATCTCAGTTTAAAAAAATTGACCCTTATGACTGGTTTTGTGGTCCAGGGTCACATATATTGAAATATCATATAAGCAGGCATACCTGAATCTGTCCTTTGGCCATGATGCGATCCATGTTCTCCCCATCATCCCTGCACTGTTTGACCTTACTGTAGCACAGCAGTCTGAGGGTCTGAGAGCCCTCTAGCTCGATCTCAAACTCCTGCGAGAAGAGAGTCCAACTTCCATTTAATCACATTGTTCAACTAGCATTATAATGTCTTTTCATATTTAAAGCTGCAGGGTGTAATTTGAGCTCATCTAGTGGGATCAAATGTTATTGTAGCATAAGGATTAATTACTCTATCTGTCTTTCTAATGCTCTAGGTCTCTCTAAATGTTTCTGAAGGCAACTACGTGCTAAGGATGGGCTGCAGTTCTGACCTCATTCCAGTTTGGCTCTGTGGTGTCTCTATACACACGAGTTTTTGCTTTGTTCACGAAATAGCCGAACGAGTCCACCTCCAATGTACAGTACAGATCTGGAGGGAGAGAGAAGAGACAACAAGCCAGTTACATAAAACCATGATCAAATGTTACATTTTTTTTTAACATGAATCAGAAATTGAAAGTTATTTTCCCACATAGAATTAGAGGTAACAGTATAAGGGGATGGGCAGTATGACCAAAATCCCAATAAATATTACAGTAATTTTTACATTTGTACTATTTTTATGTATATTTTAATATACATTTTCAAATATTTTCTTTTTATTTGATATGCTTAATTTTTGTGAATAATTTACTGAATTAAATATTTTAGAAATAAAATTAAAAAAATTATATCAAAAATAAAATGACTGAAATGAATAAGTAATCAAAAGCAGCTGTATAACTCTTCAGTTTTCACTTTTCAATCTGAAACATTGAAAATAACACTATAAAATGGTTATTTATTGACATTATTATTCAAAAATGTGGGGTTGGTAAAATGTTTGAATGTTTTTAATAGAAGTCTCTCATCAAGACTGCATTTATTTGATCAAAATACAGTAAAACAGTAATACTGTGAAATATTAATAGTTAAAAACAACTGTTTTCTATTTGTATACATTTTAAAATGTACTGTATTCTTGTGATGGCAGAGCTGAATTTTCAGTAGCCATTACTTCAGTCTTCAGTGTCACATGATCTTTCAGAAATCATGCTAATATACTGATTTGGTGCTCAATAAACTTTCTTATTATTATCAATGTTAAAAACAGTTGTGCTGCCTTATACTTTTGTGGAAACCATAATACATATTTTCCAGGATTCTTTGACGAATATAAAAGCTCAAAAGAACAGCATTTATACGGAAAATTGAAATCTTTTGTAACATAAATGAATCTAGATCAATTTAATGCATCCTTGCTGTATAAAAGTAGCAATTTTAAAAGTGCACATACAAAAAAGCTTACGGATCCCAAACTTTTCAATGGTAGTGCATATAGTCTAGTTGTAAGAATATTTCATTACTTTTAATGTGAAGAGCTTTTGGCTCTTATTACTTATCTTATTATTGTCACCATGGTATATACAGTAAGGAAGTTGCTATTGAGGATAAAGCCTACAAGAAAGCCGAAGCAATGAATGAGCGAGAACAAAGAAAGGCATAAATTAGTGATGGAGAGTTAGCTTTAAGAAGGAACGCAGTGTTCCCTGTTAATCCACCCGTCCCACAGCTGCTCATAGAGAGAACTCTGCCCAACAACAGCAGGGAGCATGTCAGGTGTTTTCATGCATGTGCACACATATTAGGGAGGCATTCAATAATTTAATGATTACTGTGATTTCATTCCATCTAATTGTAAGTGCTGAAAAAACACACTAAACTAGGTGAGACATCCCGTGCCAGACAACTTACTCAAGCTCTGTTTCAGCCCTGTTGCAGAATGAACAATCACATTTAGAAAGCCATACAGCCCCGTGGATTCATCATCTAATGGGAGAAAAACAACCAAATTGTGACAAATTTTCGATACAGTAGAAAGACATAAATAAAATACAATATAGATCTTAATAAAACAAAACAAAAAGGCACTCACCTTCTTTATTGATTGTCAGAGGAACATTGTGAACTGTCTGTAGCTTCACACAGGAGTTGGTGAGCATCTGCAACTCCAGGGAAGTCAAAGAAAAACTCTTGAAACCTGTGAGAAAAGAACATATAGAAACCAAGAGAGACTCACTCAGTGAAGTCACCAATATCTGCATTTAACCAATAAGTGACTGAAGGAAAAGAGCAGAGTCCTGCTGTGATTTTCTTGGAAGGTAGGAAGGTTTCTGTGAGGACCAGCAATGCTTACACTTTTTCTGCTGTTCCCGAATGATCTCCCTCCATTCTTCTCGCTCGTAATCAGATGAAATCAGGAATGTATAGCCCTGGAATACACAAATAAATCACAGGAAATAAGAACTTTTGGGAATTTTTTTTTTTAAATAGCCAATATTAAACTTCCAATGTTAATATGTTTTAATTTTTTGACAATATAGTATAGCTAATTCAATTGTAGCATTTGCTGTTTATCAGTTATCGGTCATAACATGAAAACAGAAAGAAAGAAGATTACATTACAGTGAGCAAATTATGTCAGAATATTTTTGGGTGGTGTTCTTTTAGCAAAGAACACCGATTGCCGATATCTGAAAAAAATGCAGTTTTAGGAAATTGTCTGGTATTGATTTACCTTGCCATTCCTGTTACTGACTCTGAAGGCCATGCATGGAGATATGAGCAGCAGCAGCGATTCCTGTTCACACAGTTTCTTCCTGAGACGATCAAGGACTTTACCTCTTTTACAAACTCTCTGAACACATGAGAGAATGAGAGGAAGGAGATGAGAAACAATTAAAACAAAGCTGAGTGTTTACTGAAGAAAAGCCTTTCTGATGAATATTTAATCCACTTATCTACCTTTTCTCTCTGAATCTCGTTCTTGATCTGGGAGATCTTGACCTTCATAGCATCCATCTCCTCCTCTGGTATCTGGGGGACCGGTGAAGACTCCGATTCATCAATGGTCTGAAAGGTGACATCAGCTAGTGGGATATACCACTTACAGTCATACTGCTGCCCCTTCCTGAACACAGGAAGAGACAGAAACCAGGGGTCACAATTATGATAAAGAAAGAAAAAACACAACTTTGAAATTAGGAATGTTTCTACAGGTGAAAAAAAGTTTCATATAGATTGACTTGCCCTCCGGTTTGTTTCTTCAATTTGGCGCAAAGCAGCAGGTCGGTAAAGAGGAAGACATGCCGAAGTTTTCGTGCCCCTTCTACTAACTCCACCATAAACTGGTCTCTGAGAAGCTGTCGATTCTTTAAAGACATTTAAAGACATGTAAATCTAACAATTTTTATATTTACATTTGAATGTAATGCACATCTATAACACTATACTTTGTGTTACATTACCTTGACATTAAATTACAGAAAACTACTTAAAGCTGCTGCGTGAGTGTTTTAATACAATGGAGTGATGACAAATTTGACATCTTTTCTGTTCTGACCAACACAAATAATCACTTATATTTTTTCCTCTTTTGGAAAGTTATAAATTGCTGTTGTGGATTTTTTCACAAATGGGGATACAAAATATATATATATATATATATATATATATATATGTTGTAGTTTGATGCCTTCTGCTTCTGTGAACTCTGTGAATGTGAAAAGGGACCATCATAATTTTTGGAACCCAAAAACACACTTAGTTTCAACTGTTTACCAATAGGGGGCGTTGTTGTATTATTTACTGCTCCATGAATCAGTGGCAGTCACTATTTTGCCTGAGGCATGGGGTCATTTAAAGTAGGCGAGGAGGAAAACAGCCAATGAGAGGCTCAGACTCATTCACTCAGATGGGAGGCATGACACACTTAAGAAATTGCTATTGTGGGTGAGTCACGGGAGCTATTTTCATGATAATGATGGCAGCCTGAGGGGGTTTCAACCTCGGACAAGCGCGGCTAGATAGGATGAAAAAGGTGTGCTGGGTGAGATGATTCACAAAAGGCAGATATGATGGTAATTACCTACTGTAAGTCAGATTAGAGGAGAAATGTAACCTTAAATGGACTGAAAAACAATATATTCCACTAATAAAAAAAACGTAATTTTGTCCTTAAAATAGCAAAGCAGTATCAAATTGAAAAGGTTCTGTACAAGATGTTCCCAAAGATGTCCATCTCAGGTCATTCTTTACAACTGGGTGTGCATGTGCACTCTTGAGTGACCGAATCTTCCCCTAATTGAAGGGTGTGTGACATATGTGAAAGACATCTGCTCTTTTCATGGCCTGAATGTCTGTGTGTGTGTGTTGATGCATTCAAAACACAGGCTCTGACCTGTGACCCTGGCTTCAGAGTGTGTGTGTTTATCCCTTATGTCTAAACTTGCATTTTTCATTCTGTACATCTCCCAAAGTACAGTACACCAGGATTTGGCCAACATGATATATGGGTGCAGTATTGACTTTGGCCGCATTTAGAGACATCTGCTAAAACAGCCTAAGATGAGAAGCAACACATGGCCATGAACTGGAAATCCATCATCTCCATGACAATAATTACACAGGGCATGGACCAAGATGCCCTGACAAATGATAATGCAGTGAAGTACAATTATTTTCTTTCTGAACAGGCATTGTCAGACCTCTAAATGAAAATCTAAATGTGCTATGAAATATATTTTCAATATTATTCTATTATTATGTTTTTGGTGATATATATTCTGTTTTTGGTGATGTTTTTCATTAAATCATTATATTAGAATTGGAATATTTATACTTTTAGGATGCTTTAAGCTTGAAAGCTTCTGTTTTCATACATTAAAATTGGCAAATGGACCACCACAGTCTTTAAAATTTCTCCTTTCGTGATCCATAAAAAATAGTCAAAGGCCTTTTATACTCCTTTGATACAAAATTGTTTGTTGGATCCCAATAGAGAAACAAAGAGATATTTTAGGTCTCGTGTGCCTGGCAAAGATCCACAGTTGATGTCGAAAAAATTTATTTTTGATGAATACTTTCTTGCAGGATTGTATAATGATGTTTTATCATCAGTTCCTGCAAAGTGATAAAAATAAAAAATTCTTCATTTAAGTACAAATCTTTACTGGAATCATGATTAAGCTGAGCTGTACTGCTCCCCAGCTTATGTCAGACATCCCTTTAATCATTCCAATAATAAATGATCGCTATCTTTCAATTGTATCTCTGTATTTTCTGCAATAAAAATGCCTGGCATGTCCACAAGCCTACAATCAGAGAGCCACTTCCCACACAGTTTTCCAGTAATCTGCGAGGAAGTCTAGTGCCAGGTCAACTGACTCAGTTCAGAGGGGTCGGGAGACTGTGCGAATACGTGTTTGTGTTCATTCTGAAGCTGGGAAGGGTGTTGAGACACTTCTCATTTCACAAAAATGGCTTTTGATAACGGAGGAAGGGGAACAGGAAGGCGGGAGATGATTATATTGTTGATGGGACACTTGTAGCGTTATGCAACCGGAGCGTACTGATGAATATTTGTACACTTGTCGCAAAAATATTACTAAGAGTTACAGTACAAGAGTTTACCAGCAAGGGTTTTTCTTCTGGCCTGGACCCCTTGAACTCGTACACATCTTAATAATTATTTTCAAAAAGATTTTTACATATATTTTTCAATGTAAACAATATTTTTTTTACATAAATGATATACATAAATATCATTCTTTTGAGGAGTCGCACCACATACCTTTTTAAAGCCTGAACAAACCTTGCTTTGTCATAAAAAGACACGATGACATTTTGTCTTCAGAGTTGTTAATCTTTCATGTTTTTTTATATTTATCATATTTTATCAGACTTACAGGGATAGTTCACCCAAAAATGAAAATTCTGTCATTAATTACTCACCCTCATGTCGTTCCAAACCCGTAAGACCTTTGTTTATCTTCAGAACACAAATGAAGATATTTTTGATAAAATCCGAGAGCTTTCTAACCCTGCATTGACAGCAATGCAACTACCACGTTCAAGACCCAGAAAGGTAGTAAGGACATTGTTAAAATAGTCCAAGTGACATCAGTGGTTCAACCTTAATTTTATGAAGCTACACAAAGAAAACATAAAGAACGACTTTATTCAACAATTTCTTCTCTTCCGTGTCAGTCGACGTGCTCTCAGAGTTCATAAAAAATTTCTTAATCTGTGTTCCAAAGATGAACGAAGGCCTTACAGGTTTGAAACTACATGAGGGTGAGTAAATAATGATTAAATTTTCATTTTTGGGTGAACTATCCCTTTAATGACTCTTACACATAGCCATCAGAGTCTGCAGGGGTCCTCATATACTATTACGTTTTGTTTCATTATTATATTTTTTTTATTGCCTGTTGGTTAGACTACATAACTTTGATTGGACGCACTTTTTTTTTTTTCAAATATTAATGTAGCTGTTTTGTTAAAATATAGTTATTTTTTAACAAAACTGTTTAAAATAAAATAAAAACATGATCATCATAGAGGATTGTATTAACAATAATAGAGAAAAATGTCAGTTCATGGACATACAGTCTGCTCTGTCACTGGGCAGCACTGACCTCTCCTTTCTTCACTGTCATAGACTGACGGCGGGGCGTGATCTCCTCATTAATGCTGGAGAGGAAGTTCTGGGAAATGCGGAGGGCATCCTGCAGGAGGGGGTGATCTGGATGATTGGATGGGGTGTGCTTCAACAGGTCCTGAACCACACAGACTTATCAAATATTGCAAAACACTCAATTTACTGAATGTGTAAATAAACACAGCCCAAGCTCATCCAAATAACACATGAGCATTGTTACACCACCAACCTGTAAACATTCTCACGTGAGAAAAATTAATGATTAAGTACATGTTCTTTTAGTTTTACTCACGTGGAGGACGAGGGTACTGCGAGTGACTCGATCCACTGGTTTATACAGCAGCGCTGAGAACGAATAAGGCAAAAGAGTGATCAGAATACTAAGTGGTGTAAAAGGACAGTAAATGTGGAAAAACTACTTACTTTCCAGAGAGTTCTTGGCATTCTGATCTTTACCCTCTTTAGCGCTCCTCACTTTCAGATTCTGAAGGTAAAACGGTAAACAAATACACAAATTTACAAGGAGGCAAAGATATCAGGCTTTGTTTTGACAGTATAATGTAAGTGCCCTTAAAACTGACCTCTGAAATCTCTGCAAACTGAGAATTGGCTTGACAACACTTTTCGGCTGTTTCCACGGCAACCTTATAGTTGTCCACAAAAGCCCTGTACATGCCGAGCTGGCTGGCCTGTGTGGGAAGATAAAACAACAGGAGAGAGTGAGAGAGAAGGAGCTTTAAAGATAAAAGTCAGTGCTAGAGGCGGATTACTCATGCATGTTACATTGGCTTAATTCTGCTTACTAAGGTAGAGCAGGCAGTTTTTCGTGGCCTGTTTTGGCATGGTTGACATGCTTCTGATATTCAAAGACAAGCAAATACCAGCCTGACTCTGCATAAAGACAACAGCACTCAACACAGCAGACAAATTATCACAGTGACATAATGGGTCAATCTTAAAGGAATAGTTTAGCCCAAAATAAATTTTTGCTGAAAATGTACTCATCTATAGGCCATCCAAGATTTTCTTCATCAAAACAGATTTGGAGAAATTTAGCATTACATCACTTGCATCCTCTGCAGTGAATGAGTGCCGTCAGAATGAGAGTCACAACACGACTCCAGCCCATCAATTAACATCTTGTGAAATGAAAAGCTGTGCTTGTAAGAAAGAAATCCATCAAGGTGTTTTAACTTTAAACCTGCAAGTCCACATAACACTTCCTTCAGTTTGAAAGTTCTTCTCCTGTTGTTCTCTCGCATCAAAATCCACGGACATATTTATTTACAACTGTTTTAAACTGTTTTCACTTTAAACGGTGCTTGATCTGTTGATCTGTTTCTTTCCTGATTCTTCAGAATTCAATATAATGCAATATAACGGACTCATTTGAAGTTAAAAACATTAATTATAGATTTATTTCTTACATTTTCAGCAGATTTTCATTTTTGGTTGAACTATTCCTTTAAACTATCAAAATTCATAATAAAAATATAAATTATTATATGATTGAACCTATTATAATCTAAGCAAATAGTGATATTATAATGAACCATTTTGAATATTTACTGTGCATTATAAATTAATTATTAATTCCACAACATCAAACTAATTTTTTGCAAAGTTTGTATGTGTTCCATGTAATATCTGAAGAAAATAAAGAAAAATCAAGGCAAATATCACTTACAAAACAAAAATGAAAAGAACATATAGTAATTTCCTTCACACACACACACACTTTTTTCCAGAGTGTGTCTAAAAAGTCAATTTTTAGAGGGTGAATGCATACTGAAACAAAAAAGAAATGACTTGGTGTAAACAAAGCCAGCATTTGTGTCATGAAGAAAAACACCATTCAAAAGACAACAACTGTGAAATGGGCACAGATAACAAGCATTTTCCATGGCAACATCTCGAGTGCTGCCAACACTGGGGTAAATAAGAGAAGGACTTGTGATGGGCTTGTCATGAGACAGAGAGGTTAAGCACTTCCTTCAACACAGCCATTATACTGCAACTGGGGAAACTTGTGAGCGATCCAGAATATGAGCATCATTACCCTGAGATCAGAAAAAAGACGGATTACATCGTGCTGTTAACTCCGCTCACTGATAAAAGATGAATACTCATTAAAGAGTGAAAAGAACCATTAAAATGAAAAGAACCACTTTCTAAAGACTCTCCTATAGTGAAGGGTTCTGAGGACACATCTTTAGCTTCATCTACAGCTATATTTTGAGTTGTGAATGTAAGTTTGCAGTTTGTTTTGAAAGTAATAAAATAGAAAATATTGTCAGGAAACATCTTTTGATTGAGTTGTACTTGCAGGGTGCATGTAAAAAAATGACTCTTATGAGCTGGTTCATTTTAGTGAATCAAACATATATTGCATGACCACTGTATTCTGATTGACAAACAAATGACTCTTATGAACCAGTTCATTTACAGTGAGGGGGTCAAAAACTTACAGCTTGACAATTGTATCCTGATTCATGAAAAAAATGACTCTTAGAAGCTGTTTTTATTCATAACCTGTTCAAAAAGATTGAATCAGTCTGACAAATCCTTCACTACTAAACCAACATCTGAATTGCCTACTGCAAGTTATCATTATTATCATACTATGCAATATTTATTTGTGTCCAAACATGACAATGTGCCATTAAACATACACATTTGCAATAGAGCTTTAATATATATTTGGCATATACTGTATATTTAGTATGCAGTGAAGAGTAGACTGAATTCTGTAGGAAACACTGGCCTGAATCTATTTATTACAGTATGAAAAAATCTGAGCCCATTTTTTGGACTCGTTGCTTCTGAGGAGTCAGGGGTGAGTAAATCCCATGGCGTGAGAGCTGGCGGTCCACAGGGAGAGGGAGGGGGCAAGGGAATGCCCAGCAGTGAGTGGGTTTCCAGGGCAGACACATGCACCCCTGCTCTATGACATCATGCTTTCTGGGAAACAGAGCAGACACTGGACTCACTGTCCACTGAAAACTCTGTGCGACTCTGTCTCCCTGTGGGATTTCCTGTTTATTTACCCCTCTCTGTGTAAAACACACACACCCTGGTAGAGAACTATGTCACTGCAAACACACATACACACACACACACACACACACACACACACACACACAAACACACACACACACACACACACA